GGGAAAAATCCAAAAGGAGGAAAATAGCTACCATTCCTTGCACGACAAAAAAAGAAGATATCGAATTGCGATTGGCGATCAAAAATGGATCTATTGCGAGAATCCCAAGTGCAGGAAGTCATGAAGAACCATCCGCATCGATACCGAAGCGGAATATTCATTGGCATGAAGTGTTGCTATGCAATCGGTATGAGCAGCAGTGTGCAGTGAATTACGAGCATCTGCTCGGTCTACTAAACCGAACAGATGAAAAGTCGTCTTCTTTTATGAGAACGCTGTGCCACTGGTTGCAACAGTTTTCAAGGATACATTGTTGCAGCACAAATGGAAAGTTTTGCTGTATCCAACATACTAACCGGATATAGCGCATAACCGATTATCACTTGTTCAGACCGATGCAGCTTGACTCGACTAACACGCAGTTTCGAAATGTAAAAGAAGTGCGAAAATGGACCGATGATTGTATCGCTACCAACGAAAAATGTTGTAAAAAATTATTTTATGTTGACACGCACAATTCCAATGGAATTTCTTCAAGTTCAGTCGGGCGTAACACCTTGATTTTAAATGAACACTGCTTTTTAAATCGATGCTGATTAGCACTTACCATGAAAGAAAAATGGTACCTACTGCGTCCTGGCCTGTCCCTAACATGCGAATCATTCTTCCTTCCTCTCAATATTTACAAAGCAGTGAATAAATAATCACGTAACTGAAAGTTAGCAGCCAAACAGTAAAAACAGCTAAAAACAAAAGTGAAGGCTAAACGTTTCATACGTGATTACTCCGTTGGCCCTTCCCTTGCTGCTGTACGAGTGTTATCATTACGTTCACAAGGCCGCCTCTTATTTCTTTTTATCAGTTCGTAAGTCTGTGTTGAATGACTTCCTTTAATCTCTCTTATAACTTAAGTGTTCAATTAGTTTATATTAATACAAAACAGATAAAAACATTACAGTTGGACAAGGCCGACCGTTAAAAACACTACATTATTTTGCCTAATACAATTATTTATTCATTTTCGCGATAATACGCCAAATGTTATATATTAGGTTCATATAAAGGCATATTTTTGTCAAAATTCTCATAATGAAGGATGGCCAAAACGTTGACTGGCATCTGTCCAAATTAAGTATTATTTTCGTTTTAGATATATCATTATTCTTCATATAAAATATTATATAAAGGCACAAAATAGACTTTGTCCCCATATAAACTCTCACGCCGCATGAGAACCCTTACATATGATGGCGTCTAATAAGTGAACATGCGTGATGCAAATTTCCTACATTTTGTTTGTAAGCCAAACGGCTATTATGGATCAATTTTCCGTGGAAAGGCTCACTTTTCGTAGAAATTGTTATAAGGGAAGAGGTTAAAAAAATTTTCCACCCGACCCCTTTTTCTACATTAATTGAGAATAACGAAGCACGCAACGGTTTTTGCCAAGGCATTTTGAAATTTGTTTCATACAGCGACGTTTCACAATATGCCGTTACATATTTGAAAGAGTGGTACCACCTAATTCATATTCCATAGGACTCGTTCTGTCGCCAAAAGAGTAAATATCTAAAAAATTGCGTTTTGCAGGTTGAACACATGGGCAGACAAGACCACAAACAGACAAGCTTAAGTCTTAGTATGGTTTACGAACATCCACTTAACTTAATGTATTCTGCAGTGGTCTGGAGTATAATAATTCTAGTATAAATAATCATACATAAACATTTACAAATTATTCTATTGATAAACCTGCCAAAAAGTAACATTTAGTAGTCGATGACAACAGGACGCATTTCGGGAACCGCAAATGGAAAAAACTTGTGGCATTTAACTTGCGAAGCGTCAGTATCAATAGTGCGACCAATCGCTTCGAAGAGCAGACAATGCTCGACGTATGGAAGAAAAGAATCGTGTACTGTGACCTCCAGGGACTCACGCGAGCTTTTCAATGGGCGCGGCTACCGACAGCAACTGATTAATTCGAACTGGTCATAGCTCGAGAAACAACCAAAATGAAACCCGCAACGAGTGGTATTACAGCACGACAACGCTGTGAGCCATCGCAGGCTATTTCAACGTTGAAACGGGAACTGCTACAAGGCCCACCGTATTCAGCGGACGTGGCCTTTTCCGACTGACACGTCTTTGGATCAATGGCGCGTAGCTTAGTCAGATCACACTTGGCCAATTTAGAAGAAATGTAAAATTGTTTAGATGGCCATGCAAAAATATATGATTCTTGATGACCGGCGGCTTCTCTCGAAATTTTCATTTTTCCATTCACTAAAAACGCCGGCGAACTTAGTTGCTTACTTCATACAGTCCTAATCAGTTTAAACGACAGAATTGTTTGTCAAGCAGCTCATCTGGCGGCTGTGAACTTTAGGCTTCACGATTACAATCTCAACACTTTCGGTTTATAACTTCGGCCGCATTCACCCGAAAAGGTGTGTAAGAGAAAGTCAAATTAGTTACATAGCTGCAAGTTTTACAAAGGTTGCCTGAGAAGTTTTCGATCTAAGGAAGTAACAATCACTCTCATTTTTAAAGCCGCAGAAAGGTTATATTGATGTACCCACTTCGTTGTGCTTAAACTGCGCCGATGAGACGGTGAAAATTTGCGCTTCAAAATGGTTTTGGTTCAATGTCAGCGAAAACTGCTACCAATGTGCATTCGACTTTCTCATGCTTAGATCTTAATTGCAAACGGTTTTCTCATAACTAAATGTTTATATGAATACATGGCCGTTTAGATCGTCAGTTATATATTCTCATATTTCACTCGTTGATTGTTGAGAATAATTTTCACCTGGCGTAGCCATTCCTTTCAAGCGACCACTGCTTCCAGCTTGATCGTTATCCGTACAATCTTGTTCCCCAGAATATGGTCAAAGCATCGACAAATTACGCTTTTTGACGGCGGAAAGTTGTCTTTTCAAGTCAACGTTAAGCTTGAATGGAATTGTTTCCAACTGTTTCCGTCGTAAAAAAACACAAAATTCACTTTACCGCCATAAAACCGCCTGTTTTCATGAGAACCATGTCAGCCAAATTCCCTATGGTTAATTTACTGAGGATAAATTTTCATCGTAAAATATTAAAAATAAAACATACAATGTGGTATTACATGCTACACCCCTTGTGGTACAGGGTATATTAAGTTAGTGCAACACACACAAGGGTTTACCATAGATTCACCTTTTATTCTACCGATTGATTCAAAATCATAATTTGTATTGATCTGAGCCTGTCTGCCCATCTGCTGTGTGTGCATGTAAATTTGTGTTCAAGCTAAAGATCGCAATTTTTGAGATATTTTGATGAAATTTGGTACAATGGTGTTTTGACCCAAGGACGAACAGTATTGAAAATGGTTCGCGTCGGTCCATTTTTTCAACCACTACTCGTATGACACGCTATTCCGAAAAGTCGTTATGTGGAACGAAATTTTAATTTTGAAAATTTGTCGGCAAAAGTGACTATTTCGTCACGAAGTATTTCGTCATTCGAAAACATCTGGACCATTTCGGCCTATGCTTTGTATCCAACCCTTATAAGGATTTTCACGAAAATTGATCCTTTGTAGACCAGGAAAGTCTAAATTTTAATGTGGGGTGATGAGAATAGACCGATAATAGTAATTTCATACAAAAACGAACTCTACAAAATTTGGACCATCTATGCTTATTATTGGATTCTGGCCTATGTAAGGATTAAACTTGTACTACGGTAGATTATGTTTTGGGCCCGCTTCCCCAGAAATACGCACATGAAAAATATGCCTTTATATAGAAACAAAATACAATTTTTGTGCTCTATAGTAAAAAGAAGTAAAAACATTATAGCCAGGCAGGGCCAACCATTAAATATTCTACACCAAATTGTTTAACACAATTCTTATATTTTTATGTTATTATTATAATGGGTCTATATGAATCAATTTCACTACTTTTTGCTTACTAAGCGCAAAGATTCATCACAAACTATTAGAAATAAAAGTTTTTTAACATATAAAGCCTTATTTTCCATTAGAAGTCTTATACGATTTAGGAGGAAATGAATAGATCTACGTAGTCCAAATTCGGTAAGGTTAGTTTATATCTCAAATTATTGTCTTGAACGAAGATTTATCAAGAAGCATTAAGAATCAGGAATTTTTATCATATAAAGATTCAATTTCCTTAGAAACCGGTACAAGGAGGTCAAAAATTGATCCATCTCGACGTGCTAATATTAAGCGATTTTTGTCGCGAAAAACTGGAAGGTGCCATATTTTTTCTTATAACGACTTATCAAAGTGGTGATCTGCACGTTGACCGCTGAGGGGTAGATATCAGATTGTACGACAGACAAGCATAGATGGGTATTATAAAACGTAGATCCATCTCAAATCTTAATATACCATCTACCACAAGTGGCATAGCAAATAATGAACATCGTTTGATATTCAGCAATTATCATAGATTGTTTTCATTAGAGACGATTTAAACCAAATTTAATACACTTTTTTATACCCCTTACAAGAGACCACGGCAATATATTCCACAATTTGGTGTTTCCATTGAACACACAAAACAATAAAAAAAAAAAATTTCAAAAACTTTTATTTTTATATTAAACATTTTAAAAATTGAGTGCGAATTGTTCTTCGCCCCTGCCTTGTCTGTGGAGCAGAAAAAGTTCAGATCAAAAACGAAAACTTGAAAACTTGAACTCTTAAATGACATTTGCAGGCAACATTTGAAAGCGATCTGAACCGTTCTACACCAATACTGACTTCAACTAATTTTGAAATAGGAAATTAAAAATTGAAAACTACAGCAAAAAAACGTCTTACCCCGCGAACCCCACCAATATTTACAATCAATAAAATGATAAATAATTTTTTTATAAGCATTTTCACCCAGATCCCAGTTACGTTATAAGGAGAAAGTATTTTGATTTTCTTTCTGCCAATCTCTTAAAATATTTTCTTATTCGAGTATTTTTCTTTACAGATTTGATGCTAGTAAATCAACTAAAGGAGCATCGAAACTTCGTAGAGATTTAATTAATGCCGAAATTGCAAATTTACGAGACCTTTTGCCGCTGCCTCAATCAACGCGGCAACGTTTATCCCAACTTCAGTTAATGGCTTTAGTATGTGTTTATGTACGCAAAGCCAATTATTTTCAACAAGGTAAGCAATCAAATATAATTTTAATATCTAAACACCCTACAATGTTAACAAGAAAATAATAAGTGAGAACATTATAGTCGGGCAAGGTCGATCATTAAACACCCTACACCACATTGTCTAATACAATCCTTATTCTTGTTATAGAATATAAAAATTATATCTTGCTTTTATACAAAGACATATTTTTCATATGCGTATTTCTGGAGAAGCGGGCCCAAACAGCAACCTAATGTAGTACAAGTCTAATCCTCACATAGGGCAGGATCCAAAAATAGGCGTAGATGGTCCAAATTTTATAGAGTTGGATTTTTTATAAAATTACTATACTATTATGGGTCAATTTCCATCACCACCTTTAAGACTTACACTTTTCCGGTCTACAAAGGATCAATTTTCGTGGAATTCCTTATTAGGGCAGAATCCAAAAATAGGCGTAGATGATCCAAGTTTTGTAGCATTCGCTTTCGTATGAAATTACTATAATCTAATCCACTTCTTCTTCCATCACCACTTGTTAAAGCTTACACTTTTCTTGTCTACAAAGGATCAATTCGTTAGTAGGAGAGGATCCGAAAAATAGGACGGGCTGGCTCAAATTTGGCTTTTATGTTAAATTACTATTATTATGTAATTTTGATGGTGAAGCATTGAAAATTTATATTTTTTTGTCATATGAACTTGATTTTTTGTTCTGTGTGTTATATACGACCGCACTAAGTTAATATACTCTCTACCACAAGTGGTGTAGGGGGAAAAAAAACGGATCTAAGAATAGATTAGTAAAGGATTTCATTTCAAGGTTAAATTACAGTGAAATACAGTGAATACATATAGACACAAAAGCTGTAAACTGCATGTCGTTAGATTTCTGATGGACATGATCTTGAATGGTTCGACTTCATTAGCTGTTAAGTTATCTGCATAATGTATGTTGTCATCGTACGTTTCACTTCTTATGGTACACTTTATGTTTATGCTAATCCTTTGCTAAAAACTTGTACAATTCATTCACTTAGTCTGCTTTCGTATCTATGAGATATGCATGAGTAGGTGTTCTTTGATGAGATAAAAGCATTGAAAAATTTCCCCAATTGCAGGATTTGATGACAAATGAAAAGATGCTGTTTATGTCATTTCTGACTTTTATATATATATATATATATATATATACATATATGCATGTATATATATAAATATAGTAAACCACTACAAATTAAGGTGCGCTAATGGGTGTGTCCGTACAGCTTAGTAACTACTCATCGCTTTTTTTATATTCTCTCTTCCGCTCTCTCCCTCTCTCTCGCACACTCTCCTGGTCTCTCTCTTCCTATCTCTCTCTCTCTATCTCTCACTCAATTCAATTCAATGTGAAATCACATTTATATCCATCCTTAATGGCAGCAATTAAATATTATGCAGATACTGACATATTATGTAAATGTTTTTCAATCAAATTCGTAGATATTGTTGGAAAATAACAATTGCTAATCACAATAGGAATTATTTATATTCATTTTTCAGTGCAGCAACATTTATTTCTAGTAAACACGTAAAGTTCCTTCTATTAAATTCGCTTACGTATATATAAAAAACACAGGTAATCGTATGAGTTGTAAGCGCTGTAAGCAGGTGCTGTTAAAAAATTTATCTTAAAAGGTAAGCAAAAAAAAGCCGAAGAAAAAATGCTATGTTTGCTTTAAAACGAATCTTGCATACTCTTCATCTCTGGCAAATACCCCAACATACATGAGCGTGGAAATATCAGTGGGTCAGTTTGGAACTACTTTTATATAAAATTTTCTTAAAACTTTTATGAAAATTTTCTTAAACTTTTACCTTTGAAGAAGTTCAGATCAATGTCTTCTATAGGTGGCTTACATATGTAGGCTGACACAATGTTCAGGGTCATAGGCTATAGTCCTGCTTTGTTCTCGTTTCGCAATTGGAGAAGGTAAGCAGGTGAAAATTTTCTTTTTTCTTGAATTCTGGAATCGGAAAAATATGAACTAAACATTGAAGGTGTGCTGTACTTACGGGAGTAGAGCATTCAAAATAAAAAAGAGAACTAGTCGGTCTTGTTTGGAGGAGCGTAGAAAATTGATCTAAGAGAATTGGTCTGTAACGCTTTACTGCTGGCCTCAGTTTGCAACTTTCCTGCCCAACATCGCATAAAATCGTCGTTAAATATCCCTCACATCCTAGAATATCTATTGCTACGAAACGGAAGATGATCACGCCATAGAAAAGAGAAACCACACATTTCTACTCACTTTAACAAAATTCTTCTATTAATTTCTTAATGGACACAAGCAAATTTCGTAGTCTAAAATTGAAACAGCACAAATTAGTGATTGAAAGAACTTTAGTTTTTCAATATATTTTTTCCCTCCAGTTTAATAAAACGGTTTGTATGATTTTTCAATTCCCCGACTGTATCTTACTTAAGATTTTTCAATTACTAATATCTGGTTACCAAATTTGACGGAAGAATTTTGTCAAATGCAGATTTTTTAACGTATCAAGATAGACACAAGTTAAAAGGTATCAAATCTGGTCAATCTGATAAACGCTCTTTAAGTCTTTTAAGATTTTACGAGCCACGGCATGCGATAGGACTTGAGGGATTTCTTCTTTCTTAGTCTTGCTTTTTGTCTCAGTTCACTGAAGCCTAGTGTAGTCGAACCAAAAGGTTTAAGTTTTACTTCAATTTTATTGATGATATCTAACAAAATTCTTTTTGCATTCCAAACTGTTACCAGGACGCCACAATCGATTTTCATGAATCCGATCGTGCACAGCGCACTTATTTCCATTTAGTTACTGCAAGAACTCCTTCATTTCTTTGATCTAGAGTTTTGTATAAACGCAAAAGAGAATTTTTTTTTTTGCTTTGGCCCGATCTTCTATATGATATTTTCAATGCAATTGATGCAAAAAACTTTCAATTACGGTTATCACTTAAAGAAAATATTTTCAAAATAAGGATATCTTTTACGCACTACGGCAAGCCTTTTTCCCAAATCTTCAAGTGCATTTAAACTTAAACGAGTAGCAACATTATAGTCGGGCAACGCCGACTAATAAGACCCTACACCGGTTCGCCTAGTTTTTGCTCATTTTGGTAATAGTACTCCACAAAATAACAGTATTTTTACGCAAGCCGTAAATGTGACGAAAGCCGGCATATTAGAAGGTTAGATTTTCTCTTCACATAAGAGATTGTCTTTCGTAATGGCGCCTATATATTGGGGTCTAAAAGAAATGGACCTATTTAATCCAAATTCACTACCGTTAATTTTTTACTATGAAATAATTTTCATAATAAAATATCATACAGGACTTACTACTCATGGGATATCTTACATCGAGTGGGGCCACATTAGGTTCACTTAATTTTTTTATTTAATTACTAACATAAATAAATTTTCTTTAAAAAAAAAAAAATAAACAAGTAGGCTTTTTTGGCATGAACTTATGCGCTGATATCCAAAAAATGGACACACGTGGTCCAAATTCAGTAAGGCAGATTTGTTTGTCAATTTACTATTATCAGCTAATTTTCACCACGAATTATTGGAAATTCGACATTCTTACCATATACGGCTTTAATTTCCGTAGGAACAGTTATATGAGAGAGGATTCAATAGTTGCTACGGCCAGTCCAAAGTTTTCATACCTTTAGCTATTACTTAGCCACTTTTGTCAAGAAATTTTGAAAATTGCAATTTTTCCATCGAAAAAGTGGACCGATCCGAACCATTTTCAATAGCGTTCGCCCTTGGGCCAAAGTATGTCTTTATATAAAATTCATCTCAGAAATTGCGACCTGCAGCTTGAACACGAACAAATACCGACAAACATCAGACGGGTGGCTTAGATTGATTTAGATTAAATAAAAAGTGGGTCTATCTTAAGCCCTTCTGGATGTTGAGTAACGCTCCTTCCTTTCAATAGTTTGATTCAAAGTAATTAACGGCATTCTTCTAGCATTTCAAAGAATATATTCCAGAGGCTTCTTTTGGGAGTTTAACCATTTTGACTATATTTGAAGAGATGAACAACCAATCTCAATCGATTCTGCGCGGTTTCCTGTCACAATGACAGATCGTACAGTGCCAACCGCAAGGTCTAGTACGTAATTAAATAGTTAAAGAAGTGTGACAATTCAATCGGCAAAGCCGGATTCAATCCTCAAGATGGTGGGTCAGACTTTTATTATAGTTTGTATGTTTTTTAAAAAGGTCCAACAGCCGTTGAACCAATCCATTTGCCAAGTGACTATCCGCAAAACGGACGGAAGTCGCCAGCTAAACTCTGTTTGGGCCACAAACCGTGACACTTCGGTATTAGGTTATGAAATTTTCCACTGGTCTTATCAGAAGCATTTTAAGTCCATAGTTTTAAAAATTTTTGAATTTAACAAGAAAGGTCATGCTATTAAATGAAGTGTCGAAATCGTAACCTAAAGTTATCGCCAGCAATTGGTCCGGTTTCGAATCCATGTACTTTTTTTTTCTTTTAACATTAGCAATCACTCATGGGATGTTCGTGTAACACGGTGGCAGCCAGAAAGAAGAGAAGAAAGAAACAGACATAAGGTGGCCACAGCCCATTGAGTGTGTGTCCAATTGAAAAGTGTTGTGCCTTTACCGGCTAAGTACTTACTAGAGCCACTTACTATAGCCAACTCGTGGTTCTTACCCACTCGGCTACTCAGGCAGAGACCTTAGATAAGTTAAAATGCGAACTTCTACTTTTTATTCCAATTTTTGTAATAAAAATGTGCAACAATAAGAAGCAACTGCGAGCTGATTAAGACGCTTAGGAAGCGGGCAAAGAAAGTGAAGCGAACCAGGCGACCAATATGAAAAAGATATATTGATAGAAAAAATTTCCCCTTTCACATCGACCTGTAACTTATACACGAGATTTAATTGCAGGAGAGAGTAAAGATCTGCTCACTCGATCATATTATCGCACCTTTCGGTTATCGTATAACTCGAAGTTACCTTTTTAGACCACGTGGCAATAATTGTATATACATATCTATAGAAATATACAGCTAATTGCCCGAGCTTATAACCATGTTTACACACTTAGCTTTTCTACATTTTTTTATTTTATTATTGTTTTACTTTTTATTATATATTTTTTTGATATGTATTTATTGTTTATTTATTTAATTTTATAGTTTTCCTGGAAGTGATATCGCACCTGTAAGCGATTTCAAATTGTATATGTATATATGTGTATATACATATTCTTTTTTTTATTTTTTTTTCTTTTCAATATGACCAATCACTCAGGGGTCTCACCTAGTCGTGTAACACTGAAGAAAGGAAAAACGATAGGTGGTGTCGGCGGCCTAGTAGGTGTGTGCCCAATCGGTAAGTTTATCGACTGCGCACTCACTGCCAATTTGCCGCACTTGAGATTTGAGCCGGCGAACGCCGCTTTGCTGGTCGCGCTGCAATTTTTAGATAAAATGGGGACGAAGTGAGAATCATATTTACTTTTTGCGTTGTTTTTAGGTACGTGTTTCTCGCAACACCACAACTCGCCAAACACCACAATCAGTTTAGTGTATCTTCGAACTTGATGTAGAATTACTTTTAAGGAAAAAGTCATGATCGAGCTTAAAAGCCTCTCAAAAGGTTTACAACTTTTAGGCCTTTGGTGACCTTTCAATTTAAGTTGATTTGAGGTTGATCTAAGAAAACATTTGGTTTTCATTAGTACTCCTGTCATTGGTACTTCTGTCATTTTTGATTTTTGCAATCGCGATTGAGTTTAGATCTCTATTAAATAAATCGTAGACTTAAATTTTAATTTTAAGCTTAAGAATTCTATTTACTGTTAGTTCACTAAGCTTGAAATTACTAATAAAATTGCTTAACAATTGCAAATAAAAGAAGAGCGTATAGACCACATATCTGCTTCCAGTAACAATTGCAACATCGTAATCGTAATCTTAAACCAAAGAGAGACAAAAGGTTTTTCATAGAAACAATCTCTCACTCTAATCACACGCTGATCAGAGGAATACTGATATGTATTTGATAAGTTCTTCAATGCAAATTTGAAATGCGTTGCAAGCACATTCGACAAAACTAATATACCTCCTGTGGTGGATATGGAAAGGAAAAAAAAAACAGAAAAAACCCTATCTACGTAAAACAATGTGATTGTGCACTGTGCACTGTGCACTGTGTAGTTTATCTATTTTCTTAACATTATATTTTTGTACGAGCATCCAAGAGACTGTTGCTAATTCAAGTTCAATGATATATAATTTGCTGCTACGTACGATATCTATGAATATTTAAATATTTACCTCTCCATTGGTACATATTTAGAATAATTTCTGTGATGGTACTTAGTATTGTTATTGAGTTAATTGTCTTATTGAGATTGAGACCAACAACATCAACAACAATAACAATAACAAATAAACAAACATTTTATGTTTCACATACACCTCTAGATATACTACTACTAGTGCTACATACAAGCAAACAGTGCTATGGCAATGACACATTTTCAATGATTCATTTGTTTATTAGAAATTTTTAATTTATGGTTGTTATCTGTACGCTGTCATCGCATCTGCTCGCTAGTGTATGTGCCGTGTGTTGCATACTGTATTCTATTAATGCCATAATAAAAAAAAATATATATTTTTTTATTTTTTATTTCGATTTTATTCGTAAGTTATTCTGTCATTTATATTAATTGCATTATTAGTAAAAATTTCTGAAGAAGAGGAAGGCTTAACACTTTTATTAATGAGATAATCTTACTGCACATGCTGCTCCTTCATGTCCAGAACAATAAAAGAAAAGAAAAAAATTATTTCTAAATCTTTTTTTTGCAACTTTGAACATATGCCGTATGATATATATAAAAAAAATAAAGCAATAAACAAAAAAGCAAAAACAAAAAACACAAAAAATGAAAAAAAAAATTAATTTTTTTTAATTAAAATTGAGTGGATTTTTTTTTGGCTTTAAATTAAAAAATTTTTTTTTTTTTTTTTTTTTTTTTTTTTTAATGTTTATTTCATTTTTAAAGTATATATACCGCGTGTATGTACAAATATAAGTCAGCTTATCTATGTTACACACATACATGAGCTTGCATTGGGAATTGACATTTGCCAATTGTCTGTCTTAATGTTTTCAAAAAAAAAAAAAAACAAAAAAAAAATGTATTGTTTTGTAAGATTTCTGCTTGGGGTTGGACACTTGTCGCTGTATGAATAAAACGTTCTCCCACAATAATCACATGCATGCGCATAATTGACAATGATATCGATCAGAGTTTCTTAAACTCTCGCTATCTATCTCTTTTCCTCTCGCCTTACATTTTATGACAATAACGTCAAACTTAAAATTTGAACTTTTCAGGCACACCTCCTCAAATAACGTAACTGCGCATATTAAGCGAAATTTTCTTATGACTTTTCAAAATTTTTCTTCATCATATTGTGTTTGTGAATCCCTGATTTTATTAATAACATATGTATTCACATTTAAGTGTACTTGTAATGATACCAGCTATTACATAAATGGCTTTAAGTCAAGCAGCGTTTGTTTGTAGATACACGACAGCATTGAATATTCGACATTCAATTCCAACGTTATATGCTTAAATCTTTTTCATAAAAACACCCGTTTAGAGCATTGGAATGGTCAGCATTCCAACACCCTATCTTCTCCTTTTCAATGAACTTTTAAAAACAAATATCGCGATCTTGATCAACAATTTCCACTTGTTGGTTGTGGACGGATGGAAAGACATCTTTAACTTGTATTGTTTGCAATGCATTTAATAAATTCTCAAAAGAATTTCATTCATAAAATTATCGACTTATTTGCAAACTTAATACACTTTGCAAATAAGAAAATAGAAAATTCCATATACTTAACGATTTTCATTACATTTTTTCTTTTAACCATAAGCAAAACTATTAAATCATTCTCTTTATTTTATTATATTTTAGTTTTTAAACGGCACGATATATCTCTACATCAAACACCGACGCCAAATATGGGATTTTCAAAGGTGAGTTTCTTAAACATTTTATAAAAGTTATAAATTATACCTTATAAACCGTAAAGTGATTGAATTCATTTTTTTAATGGCTATTAAAGAAACATATTATGCTTGTCAATAATAATAAGTATTATTAAATATATATATATATATATATATATGTATATACAGAGAGGACTAATTTAATTCATTCATTCATTCGTTATTATATAAAAAGCTTTTAATTTTTTTTTGTCTTATTACCCCATCTATGAATAAATATGTATAGTTTTAAATGGATGAAAGAGGAAACAACATAGATATGTTGATTGATATTTAGATAAGGATCAGACAAATAGATGGATGGATATACAGATAAGCTAAAGAATGAACATGTAAATGAAGAGATGTGCGCACTGAGGGACGAGCGCAAGAGACTACTCGCCGATGTAGGTGTTAACGTAGGATGTAAGTGCCTATAGATGGAACGGTTGAGAGCATTGACTGCGGAATGAAGAAATACACCGGATAAATCGCCAGGCTGGTGAACGTGCGGACATATGGAGGAAAATACAGTTTATGAATATTTACGCGGACACATATAAGAACAAAAAATTGGGCAGACGAACGGATAAACAAAAGAATGAATGGATAAATGGATGGTAGGCTGTATCGGCCCGCGCCTGGATATTGAAATGGATTGAAGGACGGACGGACGGATGGAGAGACGACTGGCAACAAGCCGATGAACACATGAATGTATGGAGGGAGGGAGTGCCAAAGGCGAATTGATAAAAGATGGCGGGCAGGTGAAGTGGAACTGATGGCCTAGAGAGACAATTGAACGCACGAATCATTGAGCAAGAAATGCAAATGCTTGCGCGAAAGATATGACGAACCAGCAGATGACTGGACATACCTTCGGAAGAGCGAACCAGGGATAAGAGGAATGGATAAGGAGACCAATGGTAGGCTAATCAAATCTGCACATAGATGAACAAATGGATGAAGATATGAACGCACAGGTAGATGCCTGATCAAACAAATTAAAAATTTAAAAACCCACACTTATGGGAGAGACAGACGAACCGAGTGCAAGAATGGATGGATGAATGCAGAGAAAGATGTGCAGACGAATGGTTAGGCGACCAATGAAAGAAAATGGCAAGAAAAATGTACGAATATATGGGCAAACTGATGCAAGGGCAGATATTTGGAAATAATCCGGTAAATGGGTAGAACCAATCAACAGATAATTATTGGAATTATTAAATAGACAGACAAACGAACGATAGCATGGATCGTAGAATGGATGGAACAGCCGATATGAGAGCGAAGCACGAGCTAAATCAAATAAATGCACGATAAACTAGAGATATTTGCTGAACAGAAACGTGGACAAATAAAATAAAAAATGATCAAAAAATTAGTCAATGGTCTGATAGATTGACTGACAAAAGGTGGAATACGTATGTTGTGAATTGAAGTAGTTTTCCATGAATAAGCTTAGGTCGTTTAACTGATGTCTCAAAGAGCTTACAGTTAAGTTTGTCATTAATCTATTAGGACCTGCCCAGCCAGTGCAAACCACATAACAAATTGACTAAACGTTATACAAAAACATTCCCATCTACATTAATTATTGCACTGTCCGATTGATGTGTTAATGATCATAAAGAAGTTTATTATTGCAGTTTTCAACGGTCTATTAGTTAGTTTCTCTTACTCAATCCCGTTGTTGGTGTTGTGTGTGTGTGTGTGTTTTTTTTTTTTTCCTACGAATTTACGAATTTACTATTTCTAGAAAATTTCAAAGTAAATTCTATCACTTAGTATTTCTACCTTTTGGGCAACGAATGTTTGTCTGCCTGATGCATTCTTCTATAGACAGTAACTTTATGTTACTTTTCAATTATTGTTTTTATTTCGTTAGAATAAGTCATCAATCAAATTTAACCGGAATTGTCCTTTTAAAACAAAATATTTATACATATAATGTTTAAGCTTTAAGCTTACATACCTACCTACCTATCTATCTATGTATAAACATAGCAACAAACATATATTCGTAGAAAACAACTCTATTATTATAAGGCATCTACTTTAACGCCAACACCGCAAATGATAGTTTCTAGGAAGCGTAAATCTGCTCTTTAGCAGTAGAAGACACCAGTAGCTATTGCTACTGAATCGCCAGAAGAAAATGTAACTCAATGTAAATTTGAGGCAAACACATACACAAAATATTTTACAGATTGATCTAAATGTATTCGTGACCAAATTATATCTGTCCCTCAAAACTAAATATTTCGTAAACTAAATTTACAATGTTTCTGCTCCTTTCTGGGCTTTTTCTCTTTTTCTTTTTTGTTTTTGTTTTTTTTTTTTTTTGCTTTCGTTTTTTGTTTTCGGTTAACATCTCTCACCAACTTTATAATCACTGGCACCACATGTATCCATACATATGCATATACGAATAGGTCAGATTTTTTGCCCTTTTTTGCGCTACACCCATTTGACGTTTGAGTGCTTACTATTTTTCACACACTTGGCCAACAGCAGAGAGAAGAAAATTAATAAACCTTTTGTTATGTAAGGGTCATCTAGAATATTTTAAAAAAATTCTCAAATTTCATTTGGAAGCCTAGAAAAATGTGCGTATGATCTGCTTAAAACCGTCTCTCCATCTCTGCATCCGTCTACACATATGCATGGCTCTTAATTGTTTTTTTTCTGGTCCCTAAGTGTATCCATTTGTCTGTCCTTTCTGTCTCAGCATAGATCTGTGGAGCCACGCCAATGTATATTTCACAAGGAAGATTGTCATTCTTACCTGGAAGCTTTCATCTCTTTTTTCTTTTTTCACTAAGAGGATGTCACGCATACGTGTAACATGGCGATAATCAGAAAGAAGTGAGGAAAGGGAGAAAGAGATGGAGAGTGACCACAATCTAGTGTATGTGTGGTCAATCAATATGTTTTTACCAATCGAGCATTCACTTGGCCATGTATGGCCATACTACACTGAGATTCCAACCCGCGAACGCCGGCATGATAGTCTCGGCTAACTAAGGCGTGCGGCAGCAGAGTCCTTGGTCGCACAGAATTCGTCATTTCATCTGTTCATCTAGCTTTTAATCTGGTCTTAGCATTTATTTTTTAATCAACTGTTCGCTTTTCCTTGGTGATATGACCCATCTTTTTTCAGTCAAATGCATTACGAAGGGGAAAACCGACTATCTTGAAACCTTATGCGAATTAAGTAGGAGTTATAGCAGAAGCGTGATGATCTAATAAGTGGTATCTATACATTCGAACTTGACATGAACCATTATCGTTTGAAGAGAATATATACTGTCTTTTTATGCCATTCACGAATCCTAACCCCGAAATCATATATAGATGTTTGTAATATAAGGTTTTTTTTCTTCTTTCACAACTCTATTTCATTTCATTGTTTTTAAAAGAAGAATGCAACCCTGCACCGAAAAAAGGAATTTTGAAGTTCTCGCGGGAGAAAGGTCAATTTTTGTCATGTGGAGAATAGCTCAAGATGACACAAAATGAAAAACGAAAAAAATTTTTTATGGTTGAAACATTGTACAGAAAAAATAGTTTAACAAAAAAACTCGGTATCCCCTATATACCTTTCTTTGGGCCGAAGGGAGACCAATAGGAGAGTGGATGAAGGGGTAAGTGCCAGTCGGTTACACAGGATTTCCTCCGTCTGGTAAGAGGCAAGTACGTGCAAATTGTTTGATGTAACCGTCCTAGGAGTGTCGGTGAGCAAGTTATAAAATCCCTCACACATCTCATGAGCTAGCTAGCTCAGTTATGGCACGTAAGTTTACCTCATAGGACTCCATTCCTCTTCAAGTGGCAAAGGAAGGATGCCTTAAACTTACTTAGACACCCGCTTTACATTTTAGAGGACTGAGAGGATAAATAAAATAAATATTTACTAATTTAATGTTACACAAAAAAGTTGCGTCCAAAGTGTAACAAATAACATTTGTTACATGCTTCACTATTTTACTGAGCATTGTATTATATTCATTTCATTGATAGAATTCAATAACTCACCAAAAAATTAAGAGAAAATCTACATATAATCTTACATGAATTCCACAAATCCCGTTAGAAAACTTAGCTAGAAAACATATACAGTTTCGAGTAAAACTTATGCTTAAAGATGTAGATGAACTTGAAAACTCGAATCAAATTTTAAATAACTTATCGGACTAATGAAAAAATTTTATGCGGAAAAATACAATACCAGTCGGCCCGTTTTAGAACGTATGTATTTTTTTTTTTTAATATCTGACGTGGCGGGCATTGAAAGTTTATTCCGCAAAGACGAAAAAAGTTGTTGACATCCACAGTTAGCACAGTTGTTGACTTAACAATGCAGATAAGTTTCGAATGTCCTGATAATTTCCCTATAAAACCAGAAAGAATGCACACAAATGGTCTTAAGACGCATCGATTTCCATTCGTTTATAAAATTTACATAATATAAAGCGTTTTTATTTGTTCGATATATCACGGTGATAAGCATTTTATTAACAATTTATTATTCTTTATACTTTTAGGCATTATCCGGATTCCTAATGATGTTAACGCAAAACGGTAAACTTTTATACATTTCGGATAATGCGGCGGAATATTTAGGACATTCCATGGTAAGTATTGGACAAATTTCCGATTACATATTAGATAAAAGAAAAGCTTGGCGTCATTTTAGAAAATAGATCGCCTTGAAGTTGCGTAGCTCCTGTAACACTGATGGAATCAAGCTATACCTTGCGCCTTTGAAAGGTGATAAGTAAAACGTTCTCATAGTTATCATTCGAAAGAAATTGCATTCTGAAGACGAGCTTAAATTAAAAAAAAAAATCGCTCCTCTTATACAAAATCCCTTCGATCAAGAAGATACCGCTTTGCAGACTTATGAAAAGGTTCATGATGTTTGTAATGAAAATGCTTTATCGAACGCAGTAGAGCGCAAGTGGAAATTGCGATAATAAACACAGGTCCCGCCTTGATTGGTTACTCGTAAATAAAACCGGTAAACTTTTTAAAGATATTTAGGGAAACCCGCCCATTATCATCTTATTATACCGCTAGAAAAATAAACATTAGCCGAAAAACAGTTTTGAAGCGTTTGCTTAAGGTCAAATGCAAGGAAGAAGTTCGCTATTTTAATGGGCGGATCTACGAATCGTAGCTGAAATTATAGGAAATCGAACGAATCTGGTAAGAGACGAAAGTAACTCTGATTCCAAGAGAACGATGGTACACAAACCGTGGCAAAACCCAAATTAACACCAAGCGTGGTAGGGCCTTATTATTGCTGCGATTGAAGGGGAAGTGTGCTCCAAACTGGCCACGCAATTGCCTCGACTTCCTACTGTCAATAATTCATATAAGCAAGTCGCCCAGAAGAATCCCACTATTTCTGACCATGATAATGCAAGACCATATCCCTCCTTAAGGAGTTTGAGAAGTTGTAGACAGCTTAAGGTATTCATTGTTAAGTACGCTCCATACTCCTCAGGATTATCATTTGTTTCGCCCCGTGCCAAACTTTGACCAAACTCTAAAGCTGATTTCGATAGGAGCCTGCAAAAACGGCTTAGTTCAGTTTTTCCCCCAACAATTTTTATTACCATGGCATGTTGGTCCTATCAATAGAAATTTCGATCGGCAAGAATGATGCACCTTTGGTGTAAAAAATTCATTAAAAATTTAGAAAAATGAGTTTAAATTTTGCTCAAAAAAAATCACGATCTTTTTTCTTTAATTGACCTTAAGTTAGCAAAATTTTAAACAAATTTTTAAGATGCGGCAAGAACTGTCGTTATATGCTCTTGACCTAAGCATAAGGTTAACATATTAATTTGTCTCAAATCCGATAGTATGTTTACAATTTTTTTCACATTTTTGTTTTCCTTTAAAATCCTGGCTTAAGCACTATTTTCGGAAGTTGGAAGAACAGGTTACATCGTTCCTTACTTCATAAATAGCAAAAATAGTTGATGTAAATTATACGCATATTATAATAAATTTCTTTAAAGTTTATGAGGCAACATAAGCTCAATTAAAGGACCTTAAGGTTCTCCATTAACGTCAATAATGGACCTTGTCTCTCTTTCGCTTACAATGCCAGAAGTTTACTTGCAAAACCAGACTGGACTACAAATTTATTTTTTAGAATTATCGCCAGATTTTCAACTTTTCCCCCATAATTACTTCAAAACTTACAATTTCCCCCTTTTTTGTTTAGCAAGTTCAAGAATAAACTAACAGCCATACTCTAGCATTATGACCGATCACTAATCATAAGAGGTTGTGAATGTCTTTTCTTATCATAGTTGCTGTGACTTTGTCAATCAAATTTGACATTGCAGAGCAAAAGTCATTTTTGCATTTTCTAGAAAAAGCAGATTAATTTTTCTCGTATAGTAAAGTTCCCTTGATATAGGCGGAACGATCGCTTATTGAAAAAAGAGAAATTCATTTTAGTGATATTTTGCCTAGTCCTAGGCTTTTTACGATATATAAACCATATTTCCGGACATCCGTACTATTTTCATCGGCTCGATATTACGTAGATTCATGAAAGATTTCCATTTAATATAATGTTTTTTTAAAAACTTAATATTTTAACTGAAAATTTTTTTGTTTATAAAAACCGACTATTTTAGACGATTTTTTTTTTTTGCCTTTCATGAAACCGATATGAGTTTTATAAAACAATACAAGCAGATTAAATTTTTAAAGCGTTTGTGAAACCACTCGTAGGTTACGAAAAAACCCTCCTCTCACCTAACATAGAGTATAAAACGCTCCGTTATTTTTTATTTGAACTTTTTTTTTTCTCTTGCAATGAAACCGAGCTCCAATTAACCCTACACAAAGGTAACCTTTTTTTCCTGCTATATTTTTATGACTACGTATTGAATGTTTTATGTCAAAAATAAAAGAGAAATAAAGGCAATTCATTTAATAGCCAACTACAGAGCAAAGTTTTAGTTGTTATTTGCCAAGAAACCTTTGACGTCTGGGGTGTGATTGCGCTGTCATAGGAAAAACAATCGCCAAAGGCTATATATTGATATGGTTTTAATCGTATTACTTAACTATGAAAGGTGACGGTTTATTAATTTTGTTTAAAATTAAACCATTTGTCTTCCTTTTTTTCTGTTGTTTTTTATTTTATTTTTTTATTACATAAATATTTAGCACATTTGTGTATTTTCGTTTTAGGAAGATCTTCTCATACATGGCGATTCCGTTTATGATATTATTGACAAGCAAGACCATGCTGCCATACAAGCTGAACTTAATCGTAATGTGCCGCCTCAACCGGGACAACATATGAGTTCAATAGCTTCAGCTGCCAATGCAATATCAAGTCTTGAAGGTGATCATAGAATGTTTCTTTGCCGCATGAATGTTAGTCGCAATGCTCGGAGACAAATGCGTTTCGGTGATCAGAAGGTAAGTGTGAAACACTGTTAAATACAACTAAATAATGTTGTTAAAGAATTCTAAGTTTAATTCGAAAACCTTCTACGTATATATGTGAAGAAATATCAAAAAAAATTTAACCCTTCTAACCCAAATTGATGGTTATAATAAGCTCTTAAGTCATATAAACACTTATACTCGTATGTCTAAGTTCACCTTTAGAATCATGCATATAATAAGAATTACAATAAAAAAAAAAAACCCAAAAAAAAAAAAAAAAAAAAAAAAAAACATTTATGCTTTCAGACTAGAACGCCAGGATATCTGCTGCTGCTGCTGGCTGCTGAAAGCAGCTAAAGTGATTTATAAACTGACAAACGATGACAGTTGTTGGTGCTGTTATGTTTGAATCTCTTTACTGCATTTCTTTTTCCTTACTATTGTTTCTCGTTTTATAATTGGCCGCGTCATGCCATCCTATCAACACAGTGTACTATATACGTATATATGTATGCATACGTATACAAAACACATATCTATCAAAACAAAACTGACTGTGGATCATATGTGCTTGGCTGGCAGACGTCATCATCTCGTTACTTCACATAGTCATCACGTTATATATCTAAGTAGCTAACATCAAACTTGAAAGACGATCGCCCCACCAGATAACGTCATACTATAATAGAGTTGTGTAGAGTTTGTCTTCTTTACTTTATTTATTTATTTATTTTTTTATTTTTTTTGTCGTCGTACCTACCACTAAGAAGTAGATTAATTTTGTCATCAAGAAATACGCATCAGATGCATAAGCATATTAAGCTTGAGTAAGATTTTAGTGTTGCTTTAAGTGATGAACATCAATAAAAACGTAGACCCAAAGTAACGAATTCAGGCTAACAACTAGTCTGGCCAGTCGATGTCACTTTACGTCAACGTTTAATTCATAGCGAACGAACACAACCATTAACAATAAAAAAAAACCATTATGTATTTGATAAACACTACTTACTCCAGCTATTACGATAGGTAATAGTGTCGATATAAATATACACGTACATTTCACAACAATTCTCCTCTATGGTTAAGTGTGCGATATAAATTTACCTTTTAGCGTACTAGAATGGCATTGCAAACTTTATGTCATCATTTCGCTTAATACCATTACAACAGTTGTTTCTGGTGATAATTTTAATTCTTTCAGCCTAAACAAACAATACGTAGGCGTCTTTGCTACTGGCAATAGGATGCTTTTTGTCTGCATTTTCCATACTTGGGGATACATGCGTATTCATGAACGTAAACTATTTTTAAGCAATTTATGCGAACTAAAGGTTTACAGTTTTTCATGAATGAATTCAAGTTATACCCTATTTCTCCTTTCACTACTCTTCCTATCTGGAAATCATTCAGACATACTTTACATTTAAAAAAACAAAAGAAGTATTTTTTCTCTTATTTATGTATTCACAATACTAATAATACTTGCTGCTCTTATTATTGTCCTCGGAAAGTTTCTAGTGGAGCATATCCAAGGTTCGACCTAATTGAAATTCTCCTGCAGTTTTTTTTTTTTCATTTTAATTGTTTTAATTAAATTTATAAAAGATTTTTAAGATTTTATATAAATGATATACGAAATCCTTTAAATTGCTACTTAAAAAAAAAAAAACAATTATTTTTACACCTACAACTAACTAAGCAGCAATCATCCAACACATTGCGAACAGCACACGACTTTATAAATATTTATATATTCATTTTGCCTCTTTGGTTTTCATTAATGAAAATTTTATGAAAAAAAAAATTGTTGTGAAAATGTTCGTCCAAAAATTACGAATTTAAAGATCTAAAGAATTCTTATATTTAATTTGTTTTTTGATTGATTAAAACGTTAAGAGTACACACAACACTTTTTTTATGCGGTTGACACATTCCTTGGAAAATCATGCAAAAAAAATCGAGTAAAAATATCGTGTAAACCAATGCATGCAACATATGGTAAGATGAAATAATATCCCCAAATATTTTCTCAAAAAAACCGTGCAAAAAAAGTATTCATGGATTCCGTATTACAAACCAATTCATTTCTACTGCAAAAAACGAATTTAAAATTAATGTGCAGTGAAAATTCTGTACATAAATACTACATGAGACTTGAAATTTAATGTTAGAAATAAAAATCAATTTCGCGTGTCAAATATATCTAGCTACGATATGACGGACTTGTCGAAAACTCCTCATAGTAGGTCAAATGAATTACACATGTATGGACAAAAATCGACACGATTTCTGATCACGGTATTCCTCCACTTGTATTCTGCTGCTGTATATATAGGTTTCTAGAGGACACTATTAAAATTAAAATTGCAAAAATTTGTGTTATTTCAAAATCGGGTAAAAAAAGACGAGGTAAAAAAATACCGTGTAAAAAAAGAGATCTCTGTATACTTATCTTCGTTGCTGTGTTTAATGCTTATAAAACTTAGGTAGGTGATTTTCTAACAATACGCTTACTAGTCATATGAAGCAAATGCGTCAAAGGAGAGCCGAGTTGATGACAGCCGACAAACTGACAATTTTAATTCAGAGAATCCCATAAGATTGGTAGTAGGGATGCTCAAATATCTATAACTACCACAATATGGTGCATTGATCGATTTTCAGAACTCTCCAAACGCAGGCGATGGGGATGACAATAGCGAGACCAATGGACAGCAGTAGGTTATAAAGCCAAATTGCTGTTTACATTTTCTTTAATGTAATTATCCAGCTTACGCCTTGTTGATAACCGTTTCTTGAATTTCGGAATCTGCTCTGTCATCTTCTTTCTTTTAGCCACAACTTCGTGACATCTTAAGTGCGACAGATAATACGAATTAAACTAGAGTGCGACGCTTTATGTACTGTCCTGACCATGTATTTCGAAAGCTGAAATGCTCAAAAGTGTGGCGACAAAAGTGTGTCAAAAACTCTCGATACTCTTAAGGATCAGCGTAACATAAACGGCGTTGTGCTTACGTATGGATATGTCCAAGGCAAGTTTTCCACAGAGATAAAGGAGATCCCAATTAACTCGGTTTTCCCGCCCACTAGTCCTGGTCTTGCTCGCATACCATATAAAACACTACGGCAACTACTCATTTTTTAAACACACTGCCAATGTTTTAAAACGATCTAAAAAAAAAGCTTAGATAATCAAGAGAAAGCATTAATAGCAGAATTTACCAAAGTGAGGCTTAATATGATTCGCGGTATTAGTTAGTTTAACTGGATTAGCGGGAGCAAAAATTGTTCAGGTTACAATTCCTTTTTTCTCACTGACGTCAACAAGTCATGGTAGTTACCGCCAAGAAAGAATTTACTTAAAAGTCGAAATCAAACAAAAAAAGAAAACCTCTTAAAATCATTTCTCTTAAAGTGCACAACAGTCCAACGGGATGGGTAGCAATGCTTTGAAAAATACGAAGGATTGCAATGCTGTAATAAAATTCTTCAAGTGAAGATATAAAAGAAGAAGGCAGAACTCTCACTCAATCTTATAAGATATATAAGTACATGTGCCATAATTAAATGTGCGCAGTACACACAAGCGCATTGTTAAACGATCATCATTCACATTTCTTTGATTGCAGCGGAAATGATCGTTTTCCCTTTCGTCCAATTTTTTTTTTTTTTTTTCAAATTGGTTCTTGATTCCGTATTGATATAATGGCCGTGGCGGTCCAGCTATTTGCAAATCAGTTTAATTAAAAACTATCACACATTGACAAACAAACACATTCACTTTCCGATTTTGCTCCAAGTGAATATGCTTTAAGGTCATTAAACAATTAGATTAAAAGTGCATAATATAATGTACGTGTATATATATGTATATGTAAATATATGTATATATCTGTTGTTATTATTATTATTGTTGTTGTTGCTTTTTTTCAGGTAGTACTAGTTCAGGGTCATTATTTGTCATTTCTGCCACTATGTAGCCGCAATGAGCCTGTTTTTTTAGCCACATGCACACCGATCGCTATGCCAGAAACTAGAGAATGTGTCGTACAGGGAGCCACAAATGTTTTTACCGCCGTTCACTCTATGGATATGAAAATGGTTCACATTGACAAGAAGTTAGTTGAAAAAGTTTGTATTTGCTGTAAAAGAACAAAAAAAAAAAAAAAAAGACCAAGCAAAACAACTATCTTTGTATTCATTACAACAGCAGTATTAATATTTTAAGGCAATTTTTGACATTTCATTTTCAGTGGAGAATTTCATTTAGGTTATACAAGAAATGAAATTCAAGGAGTGTCTTGGTACACTTTAATACACACCGATAACTTACGTGAGGCGCAAAGCAAACATCGGCTAAGTAAGTGAATTTTCATATATTTTCATAAGTAAAAGCAAAATATTCTCATTAATATTGATGACGAATAAATATTTCGCAGTAACTCAGTCAGAACAAGATCGTTCGTGTATTTTGCTTATACGCATGCAACGATCTATAGGTGATTTCATATGGGTACATGTGGTATTGCAAGTGCGTGATCCCCAGGATTCTAATCAACAGCCAGTTATTGTTTCCACAAATCAAGTACTTAAGTAAGCTTACTCAGTTAACTTAGCAATTAGTGAGGGAATCAATAAAACCTAACATGAAATATTATTTTCTTTATATTCCTATATAGTGAGCGAGAGGCTTCCGTTATGATTTTAAATTCTTGGCTTTATCATTATTATACAGTACAGTCGAAAATTCAATTTGGTTTACCGTATGATAACGTCACCAGAATTGGTTCAAATACGACGTCACCTGCAGTTAATACGGCACCAGCATATTATCATCATTTTCCTCATCATCATCATTCGGCGACTACGAGCTATTCGCCAACGGCAATGCTAGGATCGCCTTATGCAAATCTCCATTCACCTTCCAATCCTCATGCTCATCATCATCATCATCATTTTCATCATATATCACAGTTGCCATCGACTTATCATCATGCTATGGAAACAGCGGACTCTTCTACAACAATACTCGAGCGTATCACTACTAATGCCACAGAGACTGATGCCATAAATAATATAATTAATTTGAAAAATTTACCCAAGCCCACCGTAGAACCTGTTGATTATAGTCAACTAGCAGACGTAACACAACATACGCCGTCTCCTACGCGTCCTCCATCTTCGATTAAATCGAACGGTGGAGAGTTACGTTGCGAAAGTGCTAATAGTTCGATATCAAGTAACACATCAGCCACAATGGGTCACCTATCACTTAGCAATCATAGTTACAGTAATCACAATCGAGCACGCTCGCCCCCTCAAAAGCGTAAAGCCCTTGGCAAATTGGAACCTTTATATATTCAGGAAAATTCCCAAGATGTCACCAATCTTAGTGTTAACGAATTAGACAATTATGCGATACATGCGAATCGTTCGGTTGCCTTATCTCATGAGTCACATTCTTCGGTAATTTTTGCTACCGTTGTGCCAACACGACCGCGTTTATTAAATAAGGTTTTCTCAAGTGATCCAGCCGATTTTATCGATCAATGGAATCCTAGTCCGCCATGGTCGGAAAATGCTCAAAAGTTATCATTTGAAAATAGTTCAACAACGCCGCAACAAGAATTAAGTCCGTGCATAACTACTACGCCGCCAACACCGAGCGCTCCGTTAAGTAATGCGACCACCTGTATACCGGGTCTTCAAACTTTCGGTTCGGCTTTTTCGTTCGAATGGATGCCCGAACAATTAATGCCGGTTGTTGATGCTTGCGTAACATATCCGCGAACCGACGGTATGCCCATCGTTATGACTCATAGCCATCATAATCATAATTCTCATTGCCCGCCATCATGGCCCTCGCATGTTATACCCACAGATACTTATAGTCATTTAACGATACAAAATCAACGAGCCGTCGATCGTCACTCCCCTAGCAGAGATGGGCAAACCGAATTGCTTGCGAGCGCACAAAAAGCTCGCATAATAACATTGAATGACTTGAATGAAGATGAAACTAAAAAAAAAGGTACGTAACACTCTTTAATCTAGACAAACACCTACATACATATGCATTAGCGATTTTCATATATATTCTCTTGTTTTTTAACAAAGGAAAAAAACAATATTTTATATAATTTCAGAATCTCCGAGTGGTTGTGAATTACAGAAAAAGAATAACTAACTAAAAAAAAAAAAAAACCCTACAAATATATTCAAACGCCCGCATACATACGTATATGTATATACACACAGTATATATGTACGACGAGTTTATCTACGTCCATATATATATATATAAAGATATGCCTATATATATATGTATATATATATATATATTACATATATATATATATATATAAATACACGTGTATGTATATATATGTATATAGATTCCTATTGAATCAACGCGCTAAGTGATAGTAGATTCTAATTAAAAAATCTAATTTATTTTTATAGCACGTAAATGAAATAATAGTGCAATTGGTTATAAAAATAGAGAAAATAGTTTATAGATAAGAAGTACAAGTTTTTTTGTTTAATATTTTTTTTTACAATTACTTTAGTCTCGCGAAAAGCTTTTTCACCTAGGTTTACACAAATATATACATACTTATAGACATAGAGATTATTTGTATATGTTTTACCATTATTATTATTTTTTTTTTTTTTTTTTAAGTTCCAAACTTGATAATAAAAATAATTTATTACATTCTCCAATAAAATTTAAAGTTTAATTTATGATTGAAAAGTTTTGCTTTTTTGCATTATTGAAAGAAACATCCTTAGGGGAACGCATTCTATATCGAACAAATAAATTAAGAACAATTAAGGACATATTCACTCCTTTACAGTCCTTGTGGGTTTTAAGCCGTACGCGTACTTTTGCTTTAACTATGTTTTTCTTTTAAAAACAATGAAAACCATTTTCATTTTGTTTATTTATATGTAACATAGTCACTTATACGTAGGATAAATGTCTGCGATTTGATATTATACCGTTTGTCCCCGTACGGCCGAACGTGAAGATTTCGGAGGCTGAAAACGGATAAACGTATGTGTCATTGAAAAGCTAAATAGTTGAATAGTAAGGGAAGGTTCATATCTTAATGCCAGAGAGGGTTACACTACTAAAACTCTTATGAAAGCAGATGAGCGGACACACCTTACTTACCAGCTATGCTGATCTTACGCTCAGGGTTCCTTTATGCATTGCCTGCGGTTTGCGTCGATTCATGATTCCAACGGCTTTGGTAAAAGAAGAACCTAAATCTGGATGAAATATTTTCATGAAATTTTTCATAAAAATCCTTAATTTTTGCAGAGAATATCTATGGAAAGAAAGAATTTATAGATGTATTGTAGATAGATATAATATAAATGCATATCTTAAAATAAATCAAATTTCAAACGAGTAAAGGTATTATAATGGGTCAAGGCTTATCACTAAAAACCCTACAGCACTTGGTATAATACAGTTAAGCATTTAAAAACTTTTCAAAATAAGGCGTTATATAGGAAGTGGTGAAAAAAGTTCTCAATCCGAAGCATTTTCAAAAAGGCTCGTCCTTAGACCAAAACTCTTAGGGCTATGTCAAATTTCATAAAACTATCATAAAAATTGCGACCTCTACGTTGAACAATTGAACAGACATACAAACGGACAAACGGACAGACAAGCTTAAATCAATTCGACCTTTTTTTACACCGATTGATTCAGAAAGCGATTCTGTATGACAAAAGATGGGTCTATTTCAAGATTCGCCTGGGCGTGGTACGCATACGCGCAAACTTAAATATACTAAGCGTGTCATAAGCGATGCACGACATACCAATAATAACGGAGAAAATATCTATAAAAGAAAAATGCCGGATGCACTTTGATTAGGTAAGTTTTACGTATCAAACAATCCTAAAGACCAAAAAGAACTCTTTAAACAAAAATGATCTAAGGGTTTGAACTACGCACGACGTAATGCAAGTAGGGTTCTTTTTCATATCTTTAGAGTTTTTATAGTCAAGCATAACCCAGGGTACGTCAAATTTTTCTATACTCTTTCTTATGTTTACGAAAATTATTCATAAAATGAGGAAGACATTCCAACTTGAATTTAGGCTTTGTAGTTTACTTGATCTGAAGCAGGCGCAGTAAGTTGTGAAAATATAAATGCCGTAGAAGAATATTCTTCATTAATGAAAAAAGAAATCTTAGAAGGAAATGTCGGGAATTAAATCTTAACTAAACACTTAATTAAAAGCAACCGCAGATTAAAACCGAAAGAATTTTTACGTATATTACAGCTTGTAAGACTTGTAAAGATAGGCGTTCAAGTTCAAAATAAAATGTTTACAAATAACTTAATAGTTTTATAGACATAGCAAAGTATCATTACAAAATTTTTGCTTTACCAAATTTTCAAAAATATTTCCGTTATATCTACAAAAGTGTATATGTTTATAAAATCAAGAATTATCGCTTAAAGGCCAAAGGATAGAAAGTTTGTAAACCGAAGAAATTTTGAGATTATTTATAAAAATTAGAATAGCTTCAGTGTAAACTGGACAGTTAGTTAGCTTGGCATGAAGTTTACAATAAGTTTACACAACTCGGAAATTTTTATGGATGTAGCAATTTATCCATATGCTAGTTTCTCTATATGGGATACCTCCCCATTCGGCTAAATCAAAAAGACCTTTTCATCTTTTCTACCATTTTCCAATCATTTTCACGATTGTTGCGGAAGCTCTTAGTTTCAGAAAAGACTTCGAATTCTTCTTCACGTGTCGTAGGCAAGACGCCAGGAGCGAGTGACTGCTGACCCCGGGGGATGGCCGACGATTTCAACGACATAGATACAATTGACATTTAATCGGATGAGAAGTTAAGGTAAGAAAGCCTGTAATTTTTTTTACATCTTATCATATTTCCCCTTTTTTGAAAAATATTGCATTTTGAATATATTTTCCTTCGAACTGCACTTTAGTTCTTGCATTCCATAAATTCTGCCTATTTTTTTTTTTTGTCTATCGTGCTCAAAGAATAACCGGACCATGATAAGTGTTTAATAAAAACAAGCGCAAGTACTATCGGAGATTTGGTTCACGCTTTAAACTTCAAATTAAACACTCGATAATTTACGTCAGAAACTAGATTCAGAAGTGACCGCATCTTTTATTCCCATATATATATATTCTTCCTCTTTATATAACCTTTTTTTTTTGTTTTTGAAACTGCAGTGTTCTCACTTCACAGCGCACTGTGGCCGTGTCCCTTTGGTCAACTTGGCCCATTTTCGATGCCAACCTTCAAGAACCGCCAACATTTTTCTCGAATTTGAAGCCGACATATGGTAGTTTATGAGTAATGAGCAAAAAATCAATATTTTATGTCTTTTGGTTAATAGAAGTGTTCTCAGTCTACGTGGTACTGTAGACATGTCCTCTGACCGACTTCAATACCAAGTCGCGTACAAAACCTTCCAATTTTTCAGCCAAATCTGAAGGCGACAGCTTCATGCGTAGGGATAGAAAAAGGTTTACAACAGACGGGCAGCGGCAACGTGCTTAAATCGTTGAAGAACATGATGACGTAATATATACGCTTTGTGGAGTTTCTGCAACTCCCTTCTGCACGTTGCAGACGTCTTGACAAGATAAATGTACAATCCCTTGATGGGTACGAAAAAGGAGATATTGTTTCAGTTCCTTGATAGTGGAGCGATCTGTTGACGAATTTATATTGTGCCGCAATACAAACATACAGCGAATGTAATACAAACCATGTAATATTCGAAAATTAAGCTTGCGCTTCTAAGTGAACTTTTGACTTTGTAAACATTATTTGAACGAATTTTCAAGCGGACACCCACGGTCAAGTCTTTTTCGCCATTCACGCTAATCAAGAATGTGAATGCTCTCCAAGATCTTCGATTCGCATTGCAATGCTTAAAAGGCATTTCATAGAGAGATCTCTCTTACTCTTGTCATTTCTTTTCGCTCTTCGTCTTTTAAATGCGGCGCAGAAAGCAGTTCCAATTTAAAAAACGCAAATTGTGTTTAAGAGAAACGGAGGCTATTGTAGGTTTTGAACAATGCCCTGCGACTCCCATGCGATATGAGAAATTTTCATGCGATCCTGATTGAAAAAACTTGAAGTCTTCCCTGTAACATACGTTCTATTCCAGATGTAAGAGAGGTATAGATCAAAAAAAAAAAAAAAAAAACGAAAGTTGTATCACATATTCTGCTCCGCACTTTGCATGGAATGAAAAGGTAGCATTCAGCTCTCTGTGTATAAGAAATTATGAATTTTGGAATGTGGCCAATTAAAAAGCTGCCCTTCGTAGAAGAGCTCATACCGCAGATGATAGCTAAGCCGTACTTATCAGTCGACCGCGAATTGAATTTGTAAGCAAACTCTTATTTAAAGATGCCCTTACCTTTGCTCTTAATTATACTTAAATTTACATCTTCCTGAAAGGAAAGAAACTTGTTTTCCTTTTACTGAAATTTTATATAGAATAATGGAAAAAAAAAAGACTTTTCTTTTAGTTGAAACTTTGTGTTTCTATAAAATGGATATAACATATCAAAAGGAAGGGGATTTGCAGAAGGCAAAGCACATATAAACCATAAATAAATATCAATTCAACACAGATAATCACGACAGAAATTCTAACCGTGAGAAAATCAATTTCTCTCATTCGTTTTACCAGGCGCTTTTAGTGTATTATTATTATGCAATAGCCTTTTGTGGGGGTAAACTCCTACCAATTCATAGTCTAATCACTATCACTATTATGTATGGCATATATATATATATATATATATCTATATGTATATATATATATGTATATTTGTGTATAGGAGTTTCTTTATTCCTCGCTCTCTCTTTCTCGCCCAATTCCTTTCCTTCGTTTCCTTACTTAGTTAGTTAACATTAATGAGAAAAATTACGCTAATATTCTTAAACTATTCTGCATACTTGGTTGAAAATCATTATTAGGGAATGTATTTAAATTTTCGAAAAAGAGAAGAAAAAAACAAAAGTTTAAATGGAATGAAAAAAAATTTTTTTCGTACATATGAGATACAAGTGTTGGTACACTTAAATATGGCATCAGGTAGGGTTAGTTTGTTTATTTGTTTCTTTGGTTGGTTGATTGTGTTTTGGTTGTTTGCTTGGGTTTTGTTCGTTTGCA